AACACCAGTCTGCCTGCTTTGGGATAGGGGAGCGAGCGCATACACTCCAAGGGTGGCCTTGAGGCTGGTCTCTGCCGCCACCAAGGTTGGCTGGCACTGACTGGTTTTGCGGCGAATTGTACGTGGATTCGTCTGTACTCCATTGCAGCCACGAGGAGTTCGTTTGCCCTGCCGATGAACAGATGTCACTGTGCTGTGCTGCTGGCTTCTGGAGGAGCGTTGCTGACGGCCACAATTGGCTAGGTAGGAGGTCTGGTCCCTGCAGGTCCGGCAGAAGCTCTTCGTTGTTCGCCTTCTCGTGAGAACACCCCTTGATCGAAGAAGGAGGAACAGCAGGAGAACCGCATTCGCTGCTGCTGTTTTGGTCGCAAGTTCGCTGCAGATGGTTTGGCTGTAGAGTTGGGAGGAGGCTGATCGGCAAAGGCGGGAAAGGCAAATACTCCTGCCGGGCTGGCTGGATATACGAGTTGTTGCCTTGCGAGAGGAGGGGAGGTGGAACAACTAAGCTCTGGTCACTTTGCTGGTAGCATGTTAGTGACCTTCCCTGTCCTATTTGTTTCTGTGGCGGCTTGTGCTTATCCGTATCTCCTCCCTTGTTTGGTGCTTTGTATATCTTCTGTTTCTCAGCATTTATATCGTGATGCTGCCGTCGATAGGGCCTCCTCCTGCTTTCGTCATCGTCCTCAGAACTGTCACTGGTTGGACTTGTTGGTTCCGGTTGCCCCGTGACCGTCCTGATTAGTTTCTGAGAGAAGACTGTAGGGTGTCGCAAAATATATCGAAGGCGCGTCTGAAGAGAGTGAGGTTATGCGGGAGCAGCAACAGCATATGCAATTTTTGTGGTGACCTTACCGTGCATCTCCCATCTGGCAACATGACTATGTTGGCTTTGTCTGTGGATGTCTCATCAGGGGTGTATAGAAATCTAAAAAAGTCCCTGCAGCAGAATTTTTCTGCCTTTTCGACGTAATAATCAGCAGGCAGTTTCTGCAGCTTAATCAGCTCTCGCAGCTGCTGCCGCACCTGAGGCTTCAACGCCTTCAGATAATTTTTTATTGTCGGTTGAAACTTAGCTGCGGTTTCTCCAACTACCGAGGCAAGTAAGAGTTCAACGAGTTTGACACGNACGACAAGGCGAAACGCACTGAGTAATTTCGTGTATTCAGCATTATCGGCACGACAAAGCTTTATATCCTCCTCGCAAGTAGATATCTTCCTGCTATTTTCATCTTGACTTTCTTCTTTTGTTGGCTCTTCAAGGCTTGGCCTCTCGCTTTTGCAGGAATGACTCTCCGATAGGGGAGTTGCAGCTTTTTGTTGAGCACTGATATGTTCGCCTTTTTCTTCAGTTCCTCCACTTGCGGGGATGTAGGGATTTAGGAGGCTAACAGTTTTGGTGCGTTTCATGAACTCCTCCGTTCTTCTTCTTTTCTCCAGAATATCCAACAGGAAGTGCATCGCTCGCACCAACTCGCCTACACTCTTCACGTCCGGGGGAGAATGAAACGTCGCATGCAATCTAGGCCGTCCCACTGCTCCACCGGAGCTGCTTGGTGAAGTTATGTTGGTTGCCAAAAACTCCAATGACTCCTTGGCCGGAGGTTGCAGCTGCTGCAGCCGTTGTACAGACTGCACCTGCTGCATCTGCTGCAGACGGTGCACCCGCCG